CCCCCCCCCCCCCCCCCCCAAGGCCAACCGCCCAACGACAGCGGCAACGTTGGCACCGGCAGGCTTTTGGTGCCGCACATCAAATGCCAAGATGCTGCCGCGGGCAGTTTCATCTCGAGGTACCAACTGCACGTCACATTTGGAGATCCACTGACCAAACATCCCGTCACGACCTAAACAAAACTTCAAGTCGCGAACTGATCAACACCATTGAACCGAAGTACAGACAGAAATAAACCCGCCAAGATGTCCGTAACACTCCACACAACCCTCGGCGATCTCAAGATCGAGATCTTCTGCGAAAGCGTCCCCAAAACAGCAGAGGTACGTCCCTTCTTCCCTCTCCACCAAACACAGCGCACTAACATTCTACTTTTACAACCAGAACTTCCTAGCCCTCTGCGCCTCTGGCTACTACAACGCTTCTCCCTTCCACCGCATGATCCCCTCCTTCATGGTCCAAACCGGCGCGCCCGCCCACCCCAACCCACCCGAGAACCCCAAAGGCGGGCGATCCATTTACGGCCCGACCTTCGAAGACGAGATCCGACCTACCTTAAAACACAACGAGCGTGGCATTGTCAGCATGGCCAACAAGGGACCCAACACGAACGGGTCGCAGTTCTTCGTGCTGTTCGATAAGGCGCCCCATCTGGACGGCCTCAACACGGTGTTTGGCAAGCTAATTGGGGACGACAGCATGGCTACCCTGGCGAAGCTGGAGGGACTCGAGGTCGATAAGAAGAATCGGATTAAGGATGCAGTAAAGATTGAGCGGGTGACGGTACATGCTAATCCGCTTGCTAAGTGAGGGGTGCTGGGAGTTTTTGGTTGATGGGACATTACATCGGATTCAGAACAGGAGATGGATGGGGAAGAAGCGGATCAGTCAACCAGACCAGGCCAGGCCAAGCTGGGCAAGCCGGGCAGCTCGTGACGACGAATTAGGTCAACAAAGGGACCAGGAGTCAAGTCTGAGACAGAACGCCAATTACGAAGACTATCAAGCCCAAGGAAGGGCCACGCACGACACGAGGCAGCCATGCTCTCACTGGAACCACGCACTAGGAGAACGAGAGGATATAAGCCAAATGATGATGATGACGGAAACAGACGGGCCGGCGAGCGAAGGGACCAAACACGGAACCCATACGGCCCGAAAGTCCGGCGTGCGCAATGGCATAGAACAGCAGCCATGTTGGTGTTACACGATCGGTCTGATCAAAATCGGTCGCCTATGGCTTGAGCGCGAGCTGCTGCCCCCACGTGCCGCCCCCTGTGTCGGTATTCGAGGTGTATGACGAGCATGTGTACGCGAACGGGCGAGCCGCTGAGCAGTACTGGTGCCAGTGCCGGGAGTGGACACGCAACAGCTCTTCAACCGGACTTGGAAAGCTTAGAAAGCTGTTATACATACTCTTCAGCCCCAGGCCTGCGAAGTTGATTGGAGGATAGTCGACTACGAGCGAGTCCGCGTCATCATCTTCGGATCATCGGACTATCTACGGCCGGTGTAACATACGGAGCCGATTATACGTCAGCCGTCGTCAGCAAGGAGCCAAGGAGGAGGGAGGCCTCTGGAATGTCGAGCTTCCTTTGGCTCGTCAGTTGCAGCCCGATAGAGGATGTTAGCTTTGGATAAGACGAAGAAGAGGGGGAAGGACACATGTTTGCCGTGTTTATGAAATGCTATATACTTGAGCATATAAGGTACCGTTCTTGCACACACGAAATTCATGGGAATCTATTAGGCGAATCACCATTCGTTGTTAATTCCTCCTTCCACATGGCCCCTCGTCAATTTTAATCGTGACTAAATTTGCGACGATCCGCTACGCGGTGGAAAAGAGGAAGTAGAGCAGGAATCATCCGTATTCATCCGCCCGGAATTCAGAAGGAATGAGAAAAAAAAGGACCTTTTACATAGGACCGGAAAATAGACTAAAGCAAAACAAAAGAAAGAAAAGAATAAAGAATAAAGAAAAAGGAGTATTAAGACTAGAACGTGGGGGAAACGTTGAATTGCTAGCGAGCTATATAGTTCATAGTGCATCTCAAAGTTTATATAAATCATTGCTTCTCTCATCGGAAAGATTGGTTTGACAAAGTAAGTAGATGGGATCTAGACTACGTGCAGGGAACACAACAATTCTAGTGAAACAGCTGCATAGTTCTCACTGTCTAGTATACCCATACCACCGTATATACCTATGTTATCTCCATCTGTATCTGTATTTGTTTTGTAAACAGGCAACATGCATATGAAAGTCTAAAAGTATAGGAGGATGGCCGGATACATGGACAGACAGTCCTCGTGTTACCCCTACTGCTTGCTATATATGTGCCTGCTAACCAAGTGAGTTGCCCCTACTCTTTCCTATGTGTTGTTGTATATCGTCATATGCGTGCGACCTGACGACAATAACACAATAACACAATATCCAGCCAAAATCTTATCTGTATGTCTTCCATCGGCTGACTGCCTTGTCCTGTGTAGGTACGTAACCTGTGTATATGCCGTTCTATATCCCACCCCTATAACCCATTAACATATAAAATAAACGAGCAGCCCTTCCCTCCCTCTCTCCTTTTCCCCCACCAGCAGCAGCAGCAGCAGCAGCAGCAGCAGCAGCAGCAGCAGCAGCATAAGCACAAGAGTGTAACCAGAAACATTCTTTATTTTGAACTCAACGCTGGCGTTCATGTTTTTCTTTCTTCATCCTCCTTCCATACAGTAAGTATACTACAAGTACCGTACCGTACATTTTCCCATGGTCTACTATAAATCTTCCAAAGCAGAAAATCAGGCCATACACTGCGCCACACCCCCCTCCCCTCTCACCATCTTGTTCACGGCCTGCAGGATACTGATGCCCATAACCAGGGCGCCAAACCCGGCCGTCGCCCAGGCCCCGGCCCTCTTCCACCCTCCCACGTTCTCCTTGGTCGTCAGCTTCAGATAACACAGCGGCGGTAGGATATACGCCATGGCGGCGGCGCTGGTGGCGCCCACGAGCTCGAACACGGTGCCCAGGTCGCACGTGATCATGCTCAAAACCATGGCGCTGACCACTAAGCTGGAAGTGAACAGCAGGTGCAGGTTCATGTTGAAGGGGTCGCCGGGGAAATAGTAGTTGAGCATCACCTCGCGGCAGACAAAGGCTTCCAGAGGCAAAGTGGTGAGCATGTTGAGGCCGAAACAGAGGCGGGCGACGTTGACCATGGTGTTGTCGGCGGGGAAGTTGTTGAGCACGTTGCCGAGGGTGCGGTCGCCAAAGGTCAAAAAACCAACGAGGGCCATGAGCAGGCAGGCGATCATGGAGACGCCGGTGGAGATGTGGGTGACGAGGGAGAAGCGGTCGATGGTGGGGGTTTTGAGGGAGCCGTAGATTAGGAGGGAGTTGTGGTGGCAGACGAAGGCTATATCGATTGAGTGTTAGAAAATGGGGGAAGGTGGATGGAGGAAAGAGACCAAGGGGTGAACGTACCAAAGGATATCACTCCTATAGCTTGGAATATGCCATCGTTGATGATGAGCAGATTCCAGTTTGCCAACGTCCCTCTGTCCTCTGCTGGAGCCAACCCACCTTGTACCAGGACTGTGATCAAGATCACGGCCATGCTGACCAGAGCGAGGGTACTCGCTTTTGCTAGCTATTATCAATAAGAAACCCAATATTAGCCGTCCGTTCAGTCCATCCACTTTCGTTGTCTCTTATCATCATCCTCTCAACCATATCCCCATCCCAATCCACATCCCCTCCATCTCTTCCCTCCTGCCCACCTCCTCCGCAAACCCCTCCAATCCAAAAAGAAGAAAAAGAAAAAGGGAATCAAACTCACCATAGCAATATCCCTATACAACGCCAACGGATAACTAACCCCCAACGTGCTCACCAAAATCACCCCCTGCCTGCCAACCAACCAACCGACCAGTGTCCCTTTGACGGCCTCCTCCTTTAGAGAAGGCCAAATCGCCCTCAGCACATTCGGTATCGAGTCGCCCACAATAACGCCAAAAGCGACCATCCCACCAAACGCAAACGCCCACTGCGCGACCGAAATCGCAATCAACCCCGTTCTTCCAAAACACTTCTCCACGGTACCCTGAAAAGAGTTCGCGCCCGAAAGTTTCGAGTTGATGACAATCAGCCTGATCGTCCAGTCCACCACCACCGTCAACCCCACCAGCAGGATTAAGCCTGAAAGCAGGCCGGCTTGCTTGAAAGCATACGGCTGCCCGATGATGCCGGCGCCGATGATCGAGTTGGCCATGTTCATGAAGGCCATGCGCAGTCCCGATTTGGGGCGCTCGCGCTCGGTTTCGGCCCACGAGCTGATGTCGTTTTCTGAACCTGTCCCGGACCAGGGGCCGGCGTTGGCGACGGTTACGGAGGGGGCTTCGATGCCTGTTAGTAAAGGCACGCGACCTTGGCGGTGGTGGTCGGAGTCAACTAGTGGCTGGTCGGAGTCGTCTATGTCGAAGTAGGAATCGAATGAGTCGCGGGCGTGGTGGTGGTGGTCTTCTGGGGCGCCGCCATTGGCAGCTGCCCCTGATGTATGGTTGTTGCTGCTGTTGCTGTTGTCGCCAAAGGTGGTAGGACGTAGGTCAAACCGCACGCGGTTCGGAGTGCGAGGGGTTCGTGGGGTTCGAGGGGCCGAGAGGGCGGATTGTCGTCGGGGGAGTTTGATGTGACCTGGTCCTGAGTCCGAGTCTGGAGGACTGTTGCTGCCTTCTCTTCCTTCTCCTGCTGCCGTCCTAGTCCCGTTCCCTGTTATTATAGTAGAGTCTTCACCGCCGTCGTAGCCATCATTGCCGAGCAGATCGGGGCCGTCGTCACCGCCGCCGGATAGTAACCCGACATCTTCCTCGTTGCTATTCCTTTGTGTCGTGGAAGCAGCCCCTCGGCCTCCGGCGCCAGCACCAGCGCCATGCGAATTCTCGGCTGCTTTGCCCATTGCTTCAGTACCCTTGACTACGTAGCTCTTTCCTCTTCTCTTGACCCCGTATATCTTCTCTCTCTCTCCTCTCTATATTTCTTCTTTTTATATAACTCGGCAGCAGTCCCTTTCTATCGAGGGCATCGTCTTTCTTTCTCTATGTCTATCTCGTTCGCGTATGTATTCGGTGTGTGACGGCCTGTTGGCTTATGATCGAGTAGTAGATAGGTAAGATAGGTAGGTATTACGGACGTCGTTGATCTCGGTCTTGGGGTTCTCGGGGAGCGGCGGACGGCGCAACGGCAGACTGAGTGACTGACTAGCAATGAGCGTTCGGTTTCCGCGGTCTAGTGTCGGCAGGTGAGGTGTGTCGTCGTGTGATCAAAGAAGGAAGGTATTAAAGCCAGTTATGCAGTAAGTACCAAGTGGCGGGTTGACGGGTGGGCAAGGCAAAGAAAAGTTGAGTTGTAGTGTAAGACCGGATTAAAGCAAACACAGCTTAGCTAGCTTGCTACCAACAAGGTTTCTAGTTCTAGTGTTCTCAACCAAAAAAAAAAAAAAAAAAGAAGGAAACAAGAAGAAGGGCAGTGCAATTAGTCGGTGTTGTCGGTTGCTGAATGGAAGCTTGTGGAGTTGTTCGTCGTTGTCTCGGGACGGGACAAAGTGGAAGTTTGGGGGATCCGGGATACGTGTAATGCGTAAGCGGGCCTATGCGGCATAGCGGATGCTGTTCCAAAGGTAGGTACCCCAACGGATGCGGATGCGGAGAGTGCGGAACCCTTCGATCTAAATTGATCCGCGGTGTCGATTAAATTGGTGAGATTGATTGAGGGAGCTTTTAGCTGCTTGAGTTAGGGGACACCAGGCCACCAATACTCCAAAAGGCATTGAGTTGTAGGGCGCTCCTATCATGTGATAAACAGGGGATCAAACATCTCCTATTTACCTGTGTGGATTCAGGGGCTAAGGTACCTACCTAGCGGCAACACCAAGGAAGCTTCATCCATTGAGCCTCTCTCCCTCTCTGCCTCTCTAGGCTAAGCCGTACATACCACCAGGGCAGACCACCAGCCTAAGCACTTCCACCCCATCAAAATGTAAGCTGCCAAGATGAGTATGGAACAGAATTGTGTCCAGAAGAAGAAATCGACCCTATTGAAACCCAAACGCGGAGAAGCGGATTTACCAATAACCTGCCCAGGTCTCCCTGTGAGACATTCGTCTTTGTTCTTGGCTTTCGTTCGTCCCGTTGGAGCTCCGGTCCCAACCTTATCCCCGGCTTCCATTCGACCACCGCCAACCACAACTACACGACACACAAACATTTGAATTGCCGTCCTTTTCCATGGTCTGGGTCTGGGGTACGTTAATAGAAACAGAAACTTGCCGACGGGATCTATCCTGTCTGCTTGGCTAGATGGATCTTTCCTTTCCCCACAGAAAACAGAGAAGAGCCTCAACTTTCGTCATCGTCATCGTTCAACGTCAAGAAACCATTAAACATCAATTCGCCGTCTATAAAGGAATGTGTGTGTGACTGTGCCCCGCCCAAGGTATAAATAAAAGCTGGAATAATCCCACATCTTTTACCGTTTGGAACCCGTGCGTGTATAGGTGTGAACCAACCCGTATTACACCCGCACCCGTTTGTATCATCTTCTACCATAATGGCTTTGCATGTTGTATGTTTTGTACAAATCAGCTTTTCTTCTTTCTTCTCAGCTCCCCTCTTCTTCCAAAAATAAATGGTGTCAACTCATTTGTTTTTTTCTTTCCGAAGGGGACATCTGAGGGTATCATATGTTACAGAAAACTTCAATAACTCGCTGGCTTGCTATTGATATGCATGTGTGTGTGTGTGTGTGTGTGTGAAACGAAAAACAACCAAAAAAGAATGCAAAATTTTGTACAAACACCGTGTTGGTGTACTACTAAGCCATCATAGCAGCGGCCATGACGGTGATACCCAGCACCAGAGCATACATGTTGCTCTTGAGCTGGTAACCGGCAGAATCCTTCCCGCTCGGAGTTGCAGATTGACCCGTGGCATCGGCCGAAGTGGGAGTGCCGTCAGAAGAAGTCGTACCAGCAGCTGTTTGGCTGGTCTGGGTACCCGATGTTGTTGTTGTTGTTGCCGCAGCGGGCTCAACCTTGGTCGCGAAGCCGATGCGCTTCTTGTCCACATCAAAGACGCTATATACGTTCTTGAGGAAAACATCTCCGAGCAGCCAGCCGTTCGTCACCACCTCGCGTCCATAAATGTTGCTCCTGCACGACGTGCCGCTGCCCGCCTGCCAGTCCTTGGCTGAAATCTTATAGGTAACACCACTAAAGGTAATCTCAATCGGAGAGTCGCTGCACGGAACATACCATGTAACCTCGTCTACCGTCGTGGAACCAGGAATAAGCTTATGGAGAGCCGTAACATCCGACTGCGGTCCGAAGGCAAACGAAGTGCCGGTATCGATGTACGCCGTACGGCCATTCAACGTGACCTTTTTGCCTCCAAACCCAAAGCCGTCAATGGGAATGACCCAAGCGCCCCTGTTATCCTTGGCCAGATCGGTGTATGTAATGTCACCCTTGTACTTGGAAGAGTCGACAGCTCCAAAGGTGATCTGACCTTCGTTGTTGGGATCCGAGGCTCGGCCCAAAGTGACAGCGAAAATATTGCTTTGGAGAACCTTTTGGTTCACGAGTTCGGTGATGAATCCGTCAGTGCTCCCCACGGCCATGTCGAGACCAAGAATGCCGTCGAAAGCGAAATGAGTAAAGTCACTAGATGTCTCATTGGCCAACCCGAAGGACATATCGATGGAAATGCCGGCAAGCGAGACTGAATCACGGGCCAGAGTGCCGGCAACAGCGCCAGTTCCATAGGCAAGACGAAACTCCTTGCTCTGCAGCTTAAGCGTCTTGGAGTCGGCAACCCCGAAAAGGTCGTGGTAGATGCAGGCGTCGCTCTTGCATGTCGACCCCATGATCCACGCCGTAGAGGAACCGGTATCTAGGAGCATATACAATGGCTTCTTGGACGAACCAAACTGAACTTTGGCGAAATAGGCGTAGTCCGAAGGGTCGTGGTAGATGCCTGCGCTATCCTTCCTTGTTGTACTCTTGGGCTCAACAACCGAGTACGTATTAGTCCTGGCCGCCAACTTGGACCTCTTTTTTGGTACTCGCGGGTTGTCCAAAGTAGCAAATCTGTATGCAATACGCTTGGCGTCTCGGGCAGCTCGGGCGGCGCCAGCTTCGAGACTTTCGTTAGGCTACAAGATTCAACATGTTAGCCTGTATCAATTGCTGGCGATAGTCGTCGGACACTCGAGAGGGAAATGGAACGTACGTCGGCGTTTCTTTGGACCACGCTGAGACTGATAAATCCGTTCGTTTCAGGTTGACCTCCAGGCGGCGATGGAGAGTGGAATTGGCCTCCAGCTGCCGCAAGCGCCTTCCCACCAACATCAGTACTACCGCTCACATAACAAGGCTCCCCTGGATCGCATGGTAGAGGAGGCCAGATGAAGAAAGCGCGAGCTGAAGTGGCCAAGAGCGTAAGCTCCAGAAGCTTAGATACCCCAACCATTTTGATAACACCGGTCACTGACCCTCACTAGGTCAGGTCAATCCACCACACTTCGAGGTCGTTGTTCGGATATTGGGTTCCTGTCCTGCTATTGGCGAATGTGTCGATGGTGTGAAGCACTTGGATGATCGGTTGTCCACTTCTAGTAGTTGTTATGTCTCTTTTCTTTTCTTCCAAAGAGGGCAGATTGTTGTTGATGGTCGCAAGGTTCGCGAGAGATGAAATTATTGCAATTAGCGATTATAGGTGGCGAGCATTGGGAGAGATGAATGAACGATTGTGATTATGTGCATTGGTGGTCTCGCCGATAGTTTTAAGGAAAGTGAGAAGAGAAAAGACAGATGGCCGAAAGATGCGATGCAGTTGTATGTATCCGAACAAGATGGAGAAATCCTTTGGTGGTGGTGAGGGGGTGGAACGAATCGACGTCGAGGTCGATATCGGTTCGGGGATCGTTTGTGGCGGGAAAGATGCTGATGCAGATGCTAATGCAAGGCGAAAGGTAGGACGCGCGCTGGCTGTGGGACGGCGGGATGTGCGGATGGCGGATGGGATGCCGAAGCTTGATGTATGTAGGCCAAGACCTGGAGGAGGAGATCTGGATGGCGATAGTAAGGGAAAACAAGAGTGGAAAAATGGACAACCCCGCCCGATAGTATCTATTCAAAGGAAAGTAAGAAGTGGAAGTAACAAAGTCGCCCGAAGCTCCCCTGGCATAGCAAAATGCAGGCGGAGGGAAGTTGTCAGGGTAAGAGGACGAGGAGGAGGAGGAGGAG